ATTCATTAAGTACTGAACTGCTCGTCAACAGCACATTGGATGTGGCAGACGAGTTCCTCCCCAAATGGATACTACTGTGCGGAGCAGGCATTTGAGATTATATAGGCCCGTCCTAGAAGAACCAAATCATTCGCCAAACAAGTTCCCGTTCCACAGCATGCAAGAGGTATGAGGCCTTTTCCTTGAGCGGGGCGTCCTTACCACAGTCAATGCTAAAATGGGCAAGTTCTCATTATGGCCACAGTGTGTTTTCCGTCCTGGACTCGAGTTTCCTCAGAAATGACTCGAACGTCGTTGCGATGCATCATGAAAAACAATTTAGAAACGTAACTAAAAGCCAGATAACCCCGCAAGCTTTCACAAAGGGACAATCGAGAAGAACATAATTACGGAGAGTATGAGGGGAGGATGGTTGGAGAAGTGCGGAATAGAAAGAATTGTGAATGGGAAGTGGGGGAGTGAGCGCAGTCGGTGTAGATAGGCGACCAAAGCCGACCCCACAACAGCAAACGCTTCAGAGCAAAACACAGAGGAGGAGTGGCGGCGACCGAACCCGACCCCCGCGGAACCTGCTCAGGAACCTCCGAAACTTGCTTCGAGACCCGCTCCGATCTGCTCCAAGGTCTTCACTATGGCCGAAGGCCCTTAATAGCGATGGCCTCCACGTAGGAGCCCCTAGTAGCTTCTTGTTACTAAGGAACCCCAAAGCTTCGCTGTTGAAAAATTGCTTACAGTACTTGCTGGTCTTAGTCTTCCTGCCAGGTTCTCCTGCAACGAGCGGAACTGGAGCGTCTTCCCACTGCCGTACACGACTGGATTTGGATTCTCGTCTGGATTCCTTGGAAAAAAAAAAACAGTCTTGATGCCGCACAATCCCTCTTCTGGACTCAAATCATGACCGCTACAACTGCCATACAAAAAATCAACTGCAGTAAATTGCCTTGCACTATCTTGCTCTCTTGCATTCTTTTGTGAAGAGTCTGTTCTGCAAAAGATACAGAAAATGTCTGGAGGTAAGTGAAACAGCACTAACAAAGTGGTCAATCAACCCGAGAAAGGCATTTGTGGCCTGCAGCATTGAGACATGCTGTTGCCTTCGCAATTGATGCCTTGCTTTCGATCAAAGGATTTCCACGAAGGTCAAGCTCTATCGATCTAACTTCTGGCCGATCACGAAATTCAGCGGAGTTCAAGAGGCAGGCAATTTTTACAGCCACCACGTCTCCAATATCACAATGAGCCATGTCTACACGCAATCGGTGGGTAGTTCTCAGTGACTGTAGCAAAAGAAAAGCACTGTCGGCGATTGGGTTGATGTCCACGTCTAGAATGACATCTTTTAGTTGCACACATCCATTCTCAAAGACTTTGGCCAAGTCCAAAGCACCTTTGCTTGAGATGCGATTGAAGCTGAGCCGCAAATGCAAGAATACCAGTTTTGAGGTGTTTTGCATGAGACATGCAAGGGCTTTTGTCCATGCTCGGACACCCTGATCACCCAGGTTGCAGCGTCGAGCATCCACTGTAAGTTTTGCAAGCTGCAGTCCAGCAAGACACTCTGCTAGCTTGCTGACGCTGGAACAAGCCTGATATGCTACACCAATGCTCAAGTGAGTCAAGCTCAACATACCTCGAATAGTTGCTGCCAATGATATGATGGCATCATCGCTCATCAAGACATCGCGTCGAAACGTCACTGAAAAGGAAGGCAAAAGCTTCAACTCCTTTCGCAAACTTCGTGATGCGGAGCAAAGAAGGCAAATGTCTGCAGCTTCCAGGGCAGGAAGAAGCCATGGACGAAGCAGGTCTGATGTGAAAATGCAGGTCATGCTGCGCTCACAGCAGGGACCCAGAATCAATCTACAATAATTACTGGTGACTGGTGGCTTGCAATTTGGACGGCTGGGCCAAACACAAGGAAGACTGGTTGTTTCGCGAGTGCATTATCACCAGAGTTTAGGCATGTTTAGGCATTGGAAATCATCCGTATGTCAAGGCTTTCTCGGTTCCAAGCATTACACATAAAATGCCTGTCTTGACACATGGTAAGTTGCTGATCTGCTCTGATCCTGCTCAAGAGTTGGTCATGCAGCGTCCAGTTATTTATGGTGCAAACCTTGGCCTAGAATGAAAATAACGCAAAACATGGTTGCATATCAATGTCAAACACTAAACAAACTTACATACGAATCCAACCGCAACACGCATACCTCCAACACTAAAGGTAAAGTGGGAAACACTTCTGTTGTTTGGGAGAAACTGCTGGTGAAGACCCAAGACACACTCGCCTCCAAAGCCTAATCGGCTGCAGCATTGTGACACAGTTTGAGGCAATGTCTGTGAGGCCAGCCACTTTACTGTGCTTCATGTTCTGTAGATTTGAGCAACCGGCAAAACCAACCTAACGTACGATTTGTTTTGTATTTATATATCTATTTAGGCTTAACTTATACAGTAGTTTTCCGGCTACGTTTTTCAAGGATTGGCACCAGTAGGGTACTACGTCCTGTCTGTTCGCAACCTAAGTTGGCTTGCCGCCTCAACTTTGAATGTTATGCACAGCTCACGTTGTGCGAGCAATGAACCATATTGTATAACAATAGAAATGCTGAGCACTGTATTTTTGGCTCTCTCATGTCCACCTGGCAGGCTCTGAACGATACATGCACCTACCTTGCCGCCCACTAACACGTGTCTGAAGCTGCTTGGCAGTGCTTGGTGCCAGGGTCTTCAAATTGAACAAGTTGTTGGAAGATGGGCACATAGTGGTAAGCGTCTGTAAAGATCTAAGACTGCTTTATAGCAAGCTGTTACAGTACAAGCAATAGAGTTGTATCAAGCCAGGGGTGCGATGTGGGCCTCAGTCAGCAAAATTGCAGACTTCTGGCTTTTCAGATTTCAGGCTGTCTTTGAAGCCTTTTGGGGGGGCAACTCACCAACCTCTGGAAAGGAGACGATTCCGGGCCAAGTCGCATGCTGAAGCTATGTGTGGGCAGCAGCTATCCACGCGCAGAGCATGCAGAGTATGTATTGTTGCTTATCTTGATTGTTTACCAGTCACCCTGATGTCTCTGATGCTCATTTCAATGTACAAAGTACCATGGAATACCAAACTGATTCTAACATCTTGTGGATTCGCCAAGAGGAAACTCTGTTCGAGCCATGCGCTGCAAAGTCTGTTCAAAAATCATCTTTCTCTCAATAACCCCATTCCATGTAGCAGGACTGTCAAATGATATTTAAAGGGTAGCACTTGAAAGTTCCCATTCCCCATGATACAAATCTTTGTGCTGACTCTTAAGTTTCACACGCAGGGCGAAGGTGTCCGAGCACAAAGCTCGCAGGACCTGCGACACACACTCACACATGCTGGACTGGATTGTTTGATCAAACATATAACACACAAAATTACTAAATCACAGTAACACAAGAACTCTTTGATACTTCAGGCTTGCAAAGACCGTCGAATACAAAAACTGGCTTGAATCATCTTGAATCTGCTCTGGCCTCAAAGCGACTGAAACCTACGCTATTTCTTGTCATGAAGAGGCAGTCATTCACAGGGTCTAACTAATGAATCTTGCTATATACATCTATATGCTTGCACTTACAGTTGTTTTCAATGCTGAATGTGAATGTAGTTGGCTTTCCCGTATTTGTCAAATACCAACCTGGCCTTGTCCCTGTTATATACAAGTAGCAACACGACGCCAAGTGACAAAGAGCTTAGTTTATAGTAGCAGCACTGTGTACTTGCCACAAGCTGCGCTCAACCTGGCCTGCCCAGCTCCTAAATAGCCACGGCCTTGCCAGTCTAGTCGGTCAAAAAGCTCCTTCATGAGACAAGTCACGAGATGTCACGCGAACGAAGACCGTTTACAGCTAACGACAGAAATGTAGGTTATAACCTGGTTCGGGATATGAACAATTCAAACCTGATCAAACACAAACATATCAAAACCATTCAATTCAATGCTGCAAGACTGACCTGCGACCTATAGTATGTGTACAAAACTGAAGAGTCAAACCCACACTCAACCATACAATTCAAAAGAGAAGTCGCCTCTGCCTGCTTTTGGTCAAACTCATCAGCCCGCATATTGTTGCAGCTCGTGTTCGAACAAATTCGCTTCACTGTGCTGCTTTCACCAGCTGCATTCTTCGACAGTTTTGCAATTCGGACTATTTCATGGCTTGGCAATGTTGTTTGCCTTAAGTCTTCAATATGTCTTTAAGGTAATCAAAAAGAAGGCAAGAAGCAAGAAGCAAAGATAGCAATGTTCAATGTGACAGTGTAATGGTTGTTCTGGCAGGATCCCTTAACTGCTGCACACCATATTTTTGAAGGCCGACTCAATGTGTTGGTCTGTACATGTCTGTACAACAGAGTCCCATTGCTTGGATTTCAATGGACAGCTCCGCCATGAAAGTACAAATCTACACTTTTCGCATTGGGCGGTTGCTACAACATCTCCGTTTGGAGGGAAAGCTGCGCCATCTCGTCTGCAAGTACAGCGCAATGTGAAGTTTTCTGTAACTTGACCTGACAATGACCACTCTTGCTTTTGCAATCTGGTACTTGTCATATAGTATCTTTGCCTACAGCCTAGAGTACTCGTAGAGAGTCTTTTTCTCCCTATTTTGGGGACCCAACGCCACTGCGCACGCTCTAGATGCTTGTATCTGCTGGCGACTGAACCAACTTTATAAAACAAGGTCAAAACGTCAAAACATCTGCTGCGTCAATGGTCACGTTGAAAGAAGTCCACCTGTAAAGTTAGTGATGTTCTGTTTAAGAATTTCAGACCCTTAGAACAGTGGGAAGGGTGGCCTCAGGCTCGACAAGACCTTCTCCCGGCGAGGAATTTGCCAAACAACGGACCATCTCACTCCTGCAAAGGCCAGCTCCAATCCATCTAGTGAATATGGATGCTTGATGATCCTTGTTATTGCATGATCCTGCATGCCACAGGTATGACATCATGGATGAAGAAAGCGTTTCAAGTCTCACTGCTCCTGGTGTCAACCCGCACCCGCTTTCGGCCGGCATTGCCTTTCTCTGGGCAGCCAAAGGAATTGCCGACAATAGACGAAGTTGAACCCAGTGACAAGTCGTCGTCTGGGTGTCCCTCGAAGCGCACGGCCCAACCAGTATTGCCCTCAAAAGAGGATCTAGAAATATCAGCGCGGCTACCAGAAGCAATCACGACACCGCGTCCATTCCGCAGAATCTGACACTGGCGTAAGGTGACATTGGATTCCTTGAATGCATGAATACCCATTCTTTTGCAATCGGCAATCCGGCATCCCTCCATCTCCACATTGCTTGTTGAGCCTTGGATTACGATGCCATCTCCAAGCCCAATCAGACTATCTTGGCTAAGATTAACCTCCAGCTGAGCTCGTGCAGATGATAACCTCAAGCCAACCTCACACATCTGCAGCAAATTTGACCTGGCAGGCACTTCACTCCAAAGGTCAAATTCTATGCAGTGCGAATGGAGATAAGAATATGACGGGATGAATCTTTGCTGCCTAGACATTTTAAAATGTGAGCCAATCTCCTCAAATCAGTTGCACATTGAGGGACTGTTGAAAGCGATTGCAGGAGAGGACAAGAGAAGTAGCCACCACCGAGCCTGAGTTCCAGCTTTGCGGCCCAAGAAATAGCAGCAGACAGTCCGGATCTTGCAGTCAGTGCAATTGCACATTGTTTGATCTGATTCTCCTGCGAATACGACCAGCCAAAAATTTACAATATGACCCATGCTGCCAAATGACGGAGGTGTCGTTCCTTATACAAGCAAATGAAAGACAGAAAACACATATTTGTAAAACTTAATCAATTGTCTCCCTGAACTCTTGATACAGTAAGTGTTCTCCTCCATAATTGTCTTGCCATTGAAGATCTGGAATGCTCCGAACTTGACATGTTCCACTTGATTACTTCTTGCAAGAAGATTTGTTCGCGAGCAAATGACCCCAGCATTGCAACAGCGCCTGAGTTATTGCTTAATCAAAAGCAGAAGCAGTCTTTAGTGAATATATTGTTTGTTCATGTTTGTTCATTTTTTCTTGTACACTTGTACACCATGTAAGAATTCTATAGAAATCTCACACTCCAAGTCCTGCACAAAGTATTCCGTAAAAGCTCAGCCTCCAAAAAAATACTGCCCTGCACTTTTTCCTTTGCTTCCTTGGTCAATGGTGATGACATCAGAGACCAAACGCGTAGTGGTGCCATCACGATTATCCCGGCAAGAGACCCAGACAGTGTCTTGAGGTCTAAAAGTCTAAAATCTAGAGGTGTAGAAGCAGAAGACGGTATTGGGCTCCAGAGGAACTAGAGATGTAGAGGTCTTGATATCCAAAAAGGTCTTGAGATCCGGGGAGATCTAAAAGTCAAAAAAATTTCCCGGCAAGAGACCCCAGACAGTGTGTGTGTGTGAGGCCCAGAGGTGCAGCAGAAAGTCTAGAAATCTAGACGCATTGGGGTCCAGAGAGGTGATGGTGGTGATGAAGGTGGAGATCGTGGCGGTGGTGGTGAGTGAGTGTGTGGTGAGTGTGAGTGAGGGTGAGAGTGAGAGTGAGTGTGAGAGTGAATGGGTGAGTGTGAGAGAGAGTGACTGTAGTGGAGTGCAAGGGGCTTCTTATCGACATTGCTTTGAAGGTCCGCTTGTTTGGATTATAACCGCCGTAGATATCACTATGCGATGCTTTATGACTATTCCTATTCTGCCAACAAGTATCCCGGCATGAATCCTTTGGTCAACTCAGATTCTTGGCTTCTCGTAAATCCAGATGTCATAAAGCGTCCAAGGGATATTGCACTTGACCAGTCATTGCCTTCGATGGCTTCAAATAGGCATTCTCGAATAGAGATATGAGGTGCCAATTGAAATTCCTTAAATTGTTCAAGATCACTAGGCGTCTCAAAGTGGCTGACAGTAAGCCCTTGGCCGCAGTTGTGTATCCAGCAGCGGGTCATTTCCAAACGGGCACCTCTCCAAGCATTAATTGCTTCAGTCACTGAGTTGGAGATCTCGCAGTCAATCAGCTGTGCAAATGTCATTACATGCTGCTTCCAACCAGGAACATAGGCTCTTTTGCCTGAAAACTCGATGCTGGGCATGTCAACTTCCTGGTGTTGATTTCTATTGCGCTCAAGCCAAGCACCAAGGTCAAGCCCATCCTCTAGGTACTGAGTCGCAGGAAATGCTAGTATCGGCCTTCTACTCTTTCCCATTCTGGGACGCACACCACAGCCACCCCGGAGATCCACCCCATGATGGCCTCCTCGAATCGTGCAGTTTGTCAGAGTAATTGAAGGTCGGCCCCAGCTGCAGCATGCAAATGCTCGTCTGCCTCCAACTGGAGTGATGTCCGAGTAGCACCTGTACCCACGACCTATGGCTACCAAATACGAGCACTGAACAGCAATAACTGCTGAACGATTGTCTGATTCTCCGGTTTGCTCCCCGAGAAAAGTCAAGTTCCGAAGTTCTGCGCCGAACTCTGATCGGATCTGCACTGGAGACCCCAGATGGAGAAACACTTGACCATCTCCGATCAGGTTGACTGGCGACCTGATTTTCAGCCCCTGAGGGAGCGTGTAATGCCCACCGACGATAATGACGTTTCTCGATACGCGCATCGCATCTTCAAGCGACCCGATGTCGCTAGGCACCATGACAGGTGGATCACCAAGAAAAGCTAGGACCAATCGCTTTGCCACCACTCCAAGACCGGACAAAGCTCTCAGCCAATACAGCATGATACGCCGTGTTGATGGACGGCTGGAAAGTGTGCAGGCATGACTTTCAAAGTTCCCTGTAGCAGATACTATCATCACTGTCCTTTGCCATAGTTCGCCATTAAGAGCTAATGCACGATGCCAGCAACCCACACTGGCCAGCTCTGCAACAACTGCGTGGGCACTGCAACCAGAGGTATACGAAGCAACATGACAGTTTCCCACTGAAGACAGCCACTGGGCCACCTCGCTTGGATTTAGACTTGGAGAGTTTGCATGTGGAAGATGTACGCTGGCAGGATATACCGTAACAGTCAATCTTGCGGGTGTTGACGGCAAGTAGTCGATTGAGCACCCAGGTAGCCCTAGTCGCAAAGCACTATAGACTGATGCTGTTGATGGGACCGTCAGTCGCAAGGCCATGTGCCCATAGCCTAACTGCAGCATCTCTTCGTCCACGATCATGTGCTCGTGATCATTGCCATAAAAGACATTCTGAGCAACATCAAGTGCAATTCTCATGGGTACATTACTGAGGTCAGCTGAGGATGATCTGACTAAAATGGAGTTGATGGCCTGATCCTCTTTGTGCGGTTTCCTTTGAACTGTAGCAGAACATGCAGGACACAGCGATGGAGGCAAGAAATCGATCACCGGGTCCAATTCATCCGAGATCTTGAGTATCAATGTGTTCACAGGCAGGCGGACTCTTCCTGAGCAAAGCATATATCTTGCCACAACTTGCCCTTGTAAACTTAGTCCTCCTGCCAGTGCATCGGCCTCCTGACAAAAGCTTTGTATAAAAACAGTCACAGCTGCTGTCACTCCCAATAATCTGCTGTGCATATTATGTTCGCTCACAATCCCAGCTTCAGGATTGAAAAATATTGCATATGTGTGGTTGACGAAAGTCTTGTTCCCGAAAACGGCGCGAATTCCGAAATGCGTGCGTGCCGCTTCATGTCTTCCATAAAGCTTACACAAGCGGTGAACACTTGTTTTGTGGTATGGCTTTGTTCGTTTCACAGCAAAATACACTAGCGCATACTTTTGTACCTATGCTGACTAGAGCTGCCGTCGGCACTGCTAGATGAGCTGCTTTGCTGCATTTGCTTGAGCTGTTTGTTCTGCCGACTCGCGTGGGCTTTGGTGATGTCAAGTGCCGCTCTTACTTCGCCTAGGAGCGTTGCGCGCATTTTGTTCTCACACTATTGGGTCTGTCATTTGGGCCGTGCACTACCGGGCACACATTTCAGCAATTTCTGCTAGCGCGGAGCTAGCGCGGAGCTAGCGCGAGCCTAGCGCGAAGAGTCTCGATCATTTACCTGGCTTAGCCCTGGCAAAACAAGGTGTGAAAATGGACAAAGCAAGCTCACTAGGAATAGTGCGACATGAAAACCATTTGAAGTTGTGTCCTTGCTCCTGCTAGCCCTATGAAACTGCACATCCCCCGATTAAACATGTGGTCCAAGCAAATGGCTTCTAGCAATCAAAAGCTGGTTCAAAAAAGCACTGGCGACACACAAGCGCCACGCTAGCACCTAGCTTGTTTTAGAGTATGTTCTTGCGTGCCGCTTCATAATTTGCTTTTAACATCTATCATCACAAAACTAGTGTTGCCATTTTGTTTTTGTATAAACTCCTTAGCACCGACTTTTGGCATCCAAACATATGTTCTATCATAGCTCCTGCCAGCTCTGACCAGAAGGAGAGACTTTGATGCTGCTGTGCCCATGATACTGAAATAGAGCTTTAGGTTGGTACGCTCCCAGCCATCTTACACACGTCATTTGTGGTTCTGTATTACCATTTCACCTTACCTGCCAGGAGTGAAACAAGCAGCCAATACCAATGAACATCACTTGTGTCAAATCCGTCGACTGCTGTAAAGGTTGCTTGAGCAAGTCAGTCTGGTTTCTCCCATGGTCTTTTTGCATGTCCCCATCGGCTTGTTTCCCTTGTTGACTGTTCCGTTGACTTCTCTAGATTTGCTTGGACTTGTGGTGGCTTGATTGAACTCATTCCCCAGTCCTCTTTGGAAGTGCGCAGTTTCATCCGTCCAGGCCACAAAAGTTCTTGAGGCCACCGCAAGTTGCAAAGCACACAGCTGTATGACGCCTCGGAATGTTGGCAAGGCTCCTGGCTTATCTTATCACATATTGAAAACACAATCAGTTGTAATTATTGTTGAACGAGACAGCCGCAGAGTTCCTTGTCATAAAACAATCCTTCTGATTCAAGATTCTTGCAAAACTACAGCTTGAAGGAAATCGGAATAGGATTCGTGATCGCGTTGCTTGCAACTGATGTCGCCGCTGCCCAACAAAAAACTTGTCACACTTGCAAACGACCGAGAACAGGACAAATCTACCACAGTTGAATGGTCCTCGTCACGGAGAAGGGTGCTGCAAATCCACTTGTCGTGCAACCGCAAACCAGCTGCGTACAAGTGCTCTTCTACGCGTTCTGCATCTTCCAGCCAGGACCAATCCATGGTTTAACAATGTTCAACACCCTTTTAGTCAGCGCTTGCAGTATCTGAGCCTAAAACCTGTGCAAAAGTTTGGACTAGACAACACAAAAAAAAGTCTTTGACATGTTGTTTCTGTCTTCAAATCACTGTGCTGAAATGCAAAAGCAATCAGTGTATGATACAAGGTCTGTAACCCCCGCGCTTTGCTCTTTTCTTTATAGTAGTGTGTAGCCAGCAGTGCTGCCAGAGTAGGAATCTGCAAATTCTCCACCTGCATCATTGCATTCTTTACGAAGCGAGGCTGCTGACACAAGCGTGGTGTAAGCATTTTGCCACAAGGAGCAGATTGAAGACATGAGCAAGTGGCAAAGCACAGTCTCAACTATCATGGGTTAAAAGGCAAGGACCAGGTTCACACTGTTCCTGCGCAATAAGCTTGATTGAATCAGTTTTGTTTCTAGTCAAGTCCATTCCCCAGCGCAAGCCCAGTAGTAAGGCAGGCAATACTGAACTGAACACTGACCAAGACATACGAACACAGAAATTAGACATACCAAGACATGCAATTCGGTGATTTTTGTAACGACTTTCTGAATCTCCCTGGCCAAGGTGCATCCTTCAGAATGCGGTCTCTGCGGCTGAGCTGCCTTGGGTTGGAGCATCGTCACATTGCTTTGATTTCTTCATCTTCGACTTGTTTTTCTCAAATGAAGGCAATAATTATATAAGGCAATTGGGGCTGTGGCAGTACGCTTCAGATTCTCTGGCTTCAAACTCTGCAGGTTGGCCATGCCAAGCTCGACTTGAAAGCGGCCCTGACAGTTTAGTGATCTCTAAGTTTGGCACAAGACGAGACATGAGAACTGATGAAGGGATGCCACATGATGCCCCAACAAGACAGGACAGGTGTTGCCTGAGTTCGGCCAAGTATATAGAACGAAAATCTGCAGCGCTAATCCGCCTTGACCTCATCCCACTTTGTGATCAAGCCACTCCTCAAAGAAACAGTGAAAGTGATTTCAGAGGCTCTGATTGAATTCATGGCCCTACCAGGCCGAGAAAGAATGATATTCAACATTGCTCATCCATGGTTGTGATTGAGTATTTTCCGTGTGGACGTTTTAACTTGATAGCATCACACTATTCTGAGTGTCACTGAGTTAGTCGCTATAATATGTCTGACAAAGAAAGCTCTTTGGATTAAGATGGATTAAGGCACCGCGTGCAAGCTTAGGACTGTGCTTGCCATTAAGCGCCTCGGGTGAGAACGAGACAGAAGAAAATCGAAAGAGCTTATTGCGGGAACAGTGCGCCTGGCCACTGACCGACTGCAGGCCATGTATTTCCACGATGTCACCAGGTCGCAAAGGTCCCGTCTCTGCCTGAAGTCTGAAGCAAAAACTCATTAGGGAGCACGAGAACAAATATCATATATATATATATTATATATAAACTATATATAATCAGATCCGGAAACGATCGGAAAACCGCAGTGCTTTGATTTGCTTTGAGCCTCATTGGCTTGGGCTGCCCAGGCAGCTGCTGCACCTCACATCGCAAAAAGGCCAAACAGCCAATACCACGCAGACTGCCAACAACAGTAAAGATACGGAAGACCCTATCATAGAACTTCATATATACGCATGAATTTTCCTGAATACTGAAAAGTATAGAAACGTGAGTTTATGCGATTGCAAAGAGTCTGAAACTTCTGGAATCGGAGTAAATCGGACACTACCAGCTATGGCCTGCATCGCGTGCCGACTTTTTCTTCTTGTCAGTTTTCACCTTCTCACCCTTCAGCATAGCTTCCAGCGCCTGACAGGCCAACTACTCCTAAAGAATATTCAGGCTCTAAGGGTCTGTGTGCTGCCAAACAGAAAACTGAAGAGACAACTGATATAGACTCGTGATTGTTACCTATGCGTCACTTTTGAATGATCTGTTGCTTCTTTGCTCCGCCATTGTTGCACCTTTCGTTTCGATTGCTCTACACTCCGTGCCTCTTCTGGATTCGCTGAGGATCGTTTCCTCTTCTTCGGCTTCTTCTCCTCTGATCCAGAGGAGCTGGAGCCTCAAATCACCATGAATTCCAACAAGAAAATGTGAAATAGAACTAGCAAAACATCATGACAAATTGTTCTCAGATTCACTTGTAGAAGGTCTGCAAAGTGTCCAAGCAGTTTCTCTCAAAGAGGACTAAGGAAATATTAGCTCAGTCTCAGGTATGTGCTGGACTCGGAAGCCTTTTCCACATAGGTCATGTTGGCAGGCCTGAAATGGTAGATGCAAATGCTGTTTTCCACACCTTACTCTTTCGCCGATGAGTTAGTCATTATCACATGAGTTTGTCCAAATCAAATCATCCTTGTGCCTTACAGATACAACCTCCTTGGTATCTTCCATTTCAATCGTCCAGCGGCCCTGAACACAGCTTTCTCTACGATCAACAAAGAACTACAGAAGCTGGAATACGCTGAGAAGAAATACAAAGAGGCTTGTGCATCTCTGAATAGAAATACACTGTTGTCATCAACTCATCAAGACAAACACCCAGTCCAATCCTTGTCCGCCAGGAAACCCTTGGTCACACCGACTCGCTCATTGAGCTTCCTTCGCACTCTTCCCACTCTTCCAGTGCTAATGTTTGCCAATCCAACACTTCTTCACGCTTTCCCTACTAATGGCTTGCACATGTTTGCTCCAGTTCTGAAGGCTAATTATGCTAATTGGGGACACGCGTCCTGCCAGCTTCAGACTCGAGACCGTTGACCTGCCAGCAATCTGCCAGAAATCCATGACTATCCTGTTTGGATCAAGTTCCAAAGGCACAAAGCAAACACAAGCAAACGCAAGCAAACTGAGAACACACAAAACGCATATATGAATGCCCATTCACTTGCTGTAGCTTTAATAGATTTCCCCCAACGCCCTCAAGCTGTGCAGCATGCCTCGACTCTGTCTCCAACTTGAAACGTACTTTCAGTACCTGTCTGTCTGTCATGAATCAGTGGCCCAAAAGTTAAACATTCATTCATATGACCCCCTTTGAGCCGACATGATTTGTTGTCAAAACATAGGCAATCAAGCTCAAAGCGGAATGACATGCAGGAGCCATACAACTTATACATGTCATACAGGTGCACCCACCTGACCAACCCTTGTCCCAAATTACGGGGCACCTGCACCATCTCCAGTAGCTTGTCGCAGTTGCAGGTTTTCAGGTCTCAAAGCACAAAGTTTGAAGACACACACACACACACACACGCCTCCAACCTAGAAGCAATGGCCTCCAAACTACTAGCGATGGCCTCCAACCTACAAGCGATGGCCTCCAACCTACTAGCTCCGCTAGCCATTGCCTCCAACCTGCTAGCGATGGCCTCCAGCCTAGGTGGCCAGGTTTTAGCTTGCAAAGCCTCAAGACTTAGATCTTTCTGTTGCAAACTGGCTTTCAAAGCCTCTTCAGTTCTTTGTTGCTACCGTTACTAGTAACAAGAAGCTACTAGGGGCTCCTGGCATCGCTACTAGGAGCAAGGATGCTACTAGGGGCTCCTGGCCATACTACTAGGAACAAGAACGCTACTAGGAGCTACCATATTGTGGTCCCTTTGCCAAATGCTCAAAGCTTCGTCTGCCTGATGCTGACAACTTTGTCCGCCAAGGCTATTTGATAGCGGCCCTTTTCCTCCAGGAAGCTGGTGATCGTTCCAACCTGCACTCTGTTTTCAAGTCGAATCTCTGTCAAAGCGGAGCAAGAGAATGCTGTCATGTTCACCTTTCCAATATGTTTCTTCTCTTTATTTGCCAAAACATGCTGTCAGGAGATAGTAAACTAAATACTAAGATGCAGTAAGCTGTTGGCTTGAAAAGAAAAGCTACTACATGCAAGGACACGGTAGAACCCTGGACGCATGAAACAGTTTCGAGATATTAGAGATTACAAAGAAAACCAAGCAGTGCAACACTTTGAGCAGCCTGGCCATTCAGCTGCTTCCCAGTCTCAGACTCAAGACCGTGAATCTCAACCCTGGAGCCGTTCTTCAGCTCGCCCTGCACATCAACTTCGGATTCAATGCCAGCGGTGTTTTTGCGAGGCCTAGAGCTTGGTTGGTTGACCAAGCACCCTTGTGAAACTAATCTTTTGATGTTCTCATTCTGTTCTGCTAATTATGCTAGTTAGTTTGTCACCGAGGGTCTTTCAAGTTGGTTTGTTGCCAGCCCACAGGAAATACAACTAAAAAGGTCTGGAGTTGCTATGATTTGTGGACCTTCGCCAGATCTGTCTGTGATATGGGCTGACTGGAGTTTGGTGCATTACCCGAATGAGTCCGACGCAACTCCAACCCCCTGAAATGGATTGAGCTGCATGCATGGCTGCTCCAGATCCGTCTTGCTTCCAGCCTCTGCGACCTGGGGCTTCTCCTGCGCTTCTTCCTCTTGAGCACTGACCTGTCAAAGGCATAACAATGATGAAAAATGGCCGCAGAAAGAGACATTATAAGCTTGAGTGTTCTTGCGCAAACCGGGCAAGAATGACAAAGGACATGCTTCCACAACTTTGGAACATCTAGACTGAAACATCCAAGCTCCGAAGTCAGGCCGCCAGGCCGCAGGCCGCCTCTAGAAGAGTAGCCTCTGACACTCCTGCAAGCCTCGCATCGCGACACGTTGCAACACCGGGATCTTGAAGTGAAAGCCCGATGCCTTTCTTTTAGCCTGCTCTGCCCCCTACTTAGTTAAGTAGAGACCTAATTAAGTCAGGGGCAAACCTGTAAGCGCCTGGCCTAGCTACTAGGACGCTACGGATAGGTCACGTTTCTTGGGAAGCTCCCCCCACGCTCGCACTAATGATTTGGTTCCTAGATTCTTAGGGAAACAAATTTATATAATAAACATTAATAAACTATGACAAATTAAGATGTTGGGCCCAGTGGCGTGGCCGCTTTCATCGCGTTTGCCAGCTTGCTCTTGGCTGTTATCATTGCCTCGGAGCCACTACAACTGCTTCAGAGATGGGCAAACACGGTGCTTACTTCGGAACAACCAATGTTGCCTCCTCATCCGCTTGAGCACATCC